ACCATTTTCAATTCCTATAGGAATTCCTATAGGAATTTTCAATTCATATAGGAATTCCTATAGGAATTTTCAATTCCTATAGGAATTCCTATAGGAATTTTGATTTCCTATAGGAATTCCTATAGGAAATTTTCGTAAGGGTCGCGGGATACGAGAATGGTTGCGCCGCATTTGCTGCAACTGCAGATAAAAAAATAGCCTCTGAGTCTGAATGAGAACAAAATGCCAAGTGTGCCAATGTCATGTTTATGCACATACTCTCGGTATTTTAGTCTAGAATATATACAGTAGATTGAAGTGCATTCTGAGAGTGCATTCTTGCAGTTATTCCAGTCAGTCAGTAACTCCGGGCGTAGACAACAAGCTCCAAATGATTTTTGGAGTTGCAACACAGCAAGTATAACTTCAAGTTAAATGCACTTATCATCGGGAACCCCTGGGAAACAGGAGGGGATTTGTCGTCTTTTGCAAAAAATATTGCCCCTTGGGGAAGGGGAATTGTTTGGGCTTGGTAACAGGCACAGTTAACCCCCGGGGTAAACCTGCTTGATTACATATTGTCAGTGGTATCTAAGAATCGTTGAGTTCGAATAGTATAGCTAGTCTATAGACTTCATCGTACCCTAATTATTTGTAATTCAGTGCATGCATGCACAAATAAAGTTCTTTCAAGTGTACATGCTTTACATGCATGAACCTGACATTTTTGGATGGTTATAATGCAGATTTATCGGCAATCTTGTTCCCAGAGTATGCCTGTTCGCGGTTAGGTAGTGGCATGACTCTGGGGAAATCGAATCGAAATCGTTATTTGATTGGCTGCCGTGATCTTCAATGCTGCCGACACAATTAATACGTGTTTTTTTACGAGAATTACGCGTGGACATACGCGAAGAGAGAATTATTGATGTTTATCAGATTTGGAATGCGAAATCAAACAATATAAATCGAAGGATATATTATATTAATCACATGAAAAAGTATTGGGACGTTGGGTATATTCTTACAAAATGGCATGGTATTTATGAATGACTTTTTATCGATCTACAGTATGAGTATATTTATTAATATAACCATGAAAGAATTGGCTGAATGAAATCATCGCACACGTTGTCATTGTTTTGTTAAATTGACATATTGTTGCCAGAACTTTGGGGTGACAGCTTTTGCTTGTGTTAAAAACTTGAAGCTTTAAACAATACAGTACATTATGGTCAACACTCAACATGTTGTAGCCTGTGGTCTTTGTGCTTTTGTAAATGGAGTTATCTAATGTCTATATAAATTTAAGATGCCAGGTGTTTTTGTAGTATCTGTATAAATTATAGAATAATTGATTTAAGAAGTTCCTCAGGTTGTAAAACATTTGGTTATAGACTTGCTTTGTAAGTGATTGCCACTTGACAGCATGATGGGCTATTCCATTTAATATCCGTCCAGGGATCCTTGACAGGGGGGTACGGATATTAAATGGAATAGCCCGATGTAAGGCTATAACTAAGCCAAACCTGAAACAATTTTTGCATCAATTTAATTGTGTCTGGATAAAAAATAAGTAGTGAATTTAAATACAGATGTTTCCTTGTCTGTTGCTATGTGAAACAATGTTGTTTGATCAATAACAATGCTCATTTGCTAAAAATATACAAGTATTGATTCCATTTCCAAACTATTTATACTATGTGCATATATTGGCAATTAATTCAATACATAAAAGGAGATACAGTACTAGAATTGAAATAGCTACCAGTTAACCAGTTTCAATCAAATAACTACTTGAATTTCTGTATCAAGCCTCCTGGGTATTATTGTTTCCTAAGCATCATTGAGGGGGCACTTGTTCTTAATATATATGCAAAAAGTCTGGTTACCATTAAAAAATGTCCATATTCAGAGTTACAATTGTACTAAATTTTATTAAAATACTGCAGAAATGCAATATATATCATGATTTTAAGAATTAAATGAGGGCTGCATGGTTAAAAGAGGAGGGGCCAGCCAAGGGGGGCTTATTTATTTTTTATTTTTGTATCCAAAA